TATGATCTCCCATCGGTCCGAAACTTTTATACAACACGTATTGGGTCTTAAACAACCAAAATATCTCATTTTAACCATCCAAAACATCACATATGTTTGTATACACATTTTATACTTTTAGCATGCATAATCATGTAGTATTATTCACATAAGCCAATTCACTTTGGCTAATCACATGCTTAAATTCCTTTAAACATCATTTTGAATACTTATAACGTTTCTTTAGGTAATCTTATACTTAACCCAAGAGTTACAAGACATTAAGCCATCCACTCACCTCGAATGAGCTTTATGAAGTTCTACCCTTCCCGGTTGAAATCCGGCAAAACTCCGGCGAACTTTGAAGAACTCCGGCGATGACTCCGGCGACCCTTTCAACTTTGTGAAAGCTCTAGGAACCCCTTAGACAACTTCCTAACAAGTTTTTATCATCACAAAACCCATATCAACACAAATAACCTCTAAAAGAGTATTTTCCGGCGAACCGGTCACTTTGGCTTCTAAGTCTATTCTTGGACTTAGAACTACCTTCCAACCCCTCATTCTACATTTCTAAACGTGTAGAACAAGCCTAGGGGTCATCCATATGCTATATAAGCCATATGATAAAATAAAAAGTAGGGTAAAAGTTATTATAAAGTTATTACCTCAATCCTTCACACTTTTCTTAACTTTTCCCTTGTTTAATCACCTTCGTTGGACCAACCTTGCTTGAACTTGATTTGCAGCAATGGAGGATGGACTTAGAGATTCCTTTCTCTCTTTCCTTTGGTATTGGTCGATTTTGATATGAGGAAGGGGGTTGTGAAAGTAGTTTTGTCTCAAATGGCCAATGAGTGTAGGATGTGAGGTCCACCTCATGTCATCCTCACACCAACCCATCCCCTCACCTATTCTACACCACACTCTCCCATAATCCATCCCCTTAAGTAAACTTTGAGCACACAAAAACGTGGAGTGGCCCCCACTCATATGGGAGGTCATCCCCATTTTTCCCGAAATGTACATTCGGCCCCGAAAGTTGTATTTATCGGACTGTTTTAATTATATTTTATTTTATTGGGCCAAATAAAATATACCACACATTCACAACTCATACGGGACCTTATAGTGAATATACATTCCTCAACTTTTAATTTAGAAGTCTCCGAAATCCATTTCGGGCTGTTATCCGATGAATTACCAATACCGGTAAATCGGTAATTGGACCTTGTTTGAACAACCGGTCAACCCCATGCCCTTTCTATGGCCCAACTAAAATATGTATCATCATATAAATATTATCTAGGCCAAGATGAATAGAATATGTGGTCCCGGGATTATCGGGCAGCCCCCGCTCCCAATGTGGGCCCCACGTGCAATTCACTATTCACGCGAAAGTAAAAACAAAATTTACAACCTCGTAAATTCATAATCATTATTCCAGATTTATTACATGATTTACTAAAAGTAAATATACTTGGGGACGGTGTTACACTACGTATGACTTAGTAGTTACTCCCTCCGTCCCGAAAAGGTTGACCAAATTTCCTTTTTTGGATGTCCCAAAAAAGTTTTCTCATATCCATTTAAAGTAAGGAATATGTGGCACAAATTTCAACCATACAGTTTTTACTTTATTAATCCACGTGAAAGTCAACTTTACCTTTTCGGGACAGAGGGAGTATGAAACTAAATTGAATTGCAAATGGTTGATTACAACCGGATTAGTTTCATTTCAGTTTGGTTTAGTTTGATTTGGTCAAACCAACACAAAAATTTAGTGTTCTCTAATTACTAAATTTACTTTGATCGAATCGGCTAAATCTACTAGAATTGATGAAATGTGGTGGATATAGGTGAATTTTGACTAAATTTGCCGAATTATGAAAAAAAATTAAAACTTATTTTACTAATAACATAAAGAAAAAAATATGTGAATAATTAAAATGGTCTTTTATAATAACTTCAATCAGTTCTGTTAGAAAAGTAATTTTTAACCCTAACTATTTGAATGATGGGGAGGGGAGTAAGAATATATTTTTGATAGTACAGGGGTGTGAGTGGTAATTTTCCTTTACTTAGTTGTAATTTCTTTTTCTTTTTCTTTTTAACTGGGTCAGGTCGAGCCCCCTAATTTCCATTTATTTCTTTTGTATTCCTTCCATGTATTTTGAAGAAGTATGTCTCTTGGCTTTGGTTTGATCCCCTCTATTTGTGTATGTTACCTAGACAAATACTCTCTTATGTGCAAAATTATTATATTAACGTGTGATTCACATTATTCAACAAATATTAAAAAAGTTATGCATCACACGCGTTCCGTAGTATTATTGAATATCTTTAAATATCTAAACCCGCAAAGAAGATAATGAATGTTGTTCACAATTGTGAAGTACTACGTATATAATAATTTGTAATTTTTAAGGGAAGATCGCAGTTTTGATCCCCCAATTAGCCATCATATTGAAATCCTAGATTCGTGTTTCTGCTATTTTAAATGTCACCTTCGATTTGTCAGAATTGTTTTAAATGTCACCATTGCCGTTAAAATTCTTACAAATTCCGTGTGGCTTTTCATTTTTTCAGGGGTAAACATTTAACTTCACATCCTTATACGTTTAAATCCCTAAATCGAGTATAAATCAAACTTTCTTTGTATAATTCAAGTGAGGTAGACGCCATTTTCTTGGGAAGCTTTCTTCCCTTCGTCAGTTCTTCAGCCGTTTGGATTTTTCAAGAGGTGCAACCATTGTCATATGATTTAGGGTTCTTCGTCTTCAATTTCGACCTTTAAACAGAAATCTTGGCTTCAATATAGCTTCAATATTCGAACGCCATGTCCCACGGAAAGTTGGCTGAAAAGAGTTCAGATCAAAGGATTAAGCAAAACATTTCAAGTTGGACTGATAATCGTGATAAAGGGTTGACGACAACTCGACTTAAGGATTTAAATGTATAACAATGTGAAGCTATATGTTTAACCCTGAAAAATGGATAGCCACACGGAGTTCGTAAGATTTTTAACGGCAGAGGTGACATTTAAAACAATTCTGATAAATCGGGGGTGACATTTAAAAAAGCAAAAACACGGGTCTGAGATTTGAATATGATGACTAATTGGGGGACCAAAACTGGGATTTTCCCAATTTTTAATCTTCATTTACTTTTTTTTAAAAGCAATGTATGCACTGTTTTATTTTTACACAATATTTCTATATATTCCCAAATAAATGTTGTTTACTAACTGCATCCCGTGCTAAGCACGGGTGAAAAATCTAGTCTAAAGTAAATTTCTATTTTGTGATGTTAATTTATGGAGAGCATTATTTATCTAGAAAGTCCAGATTACAGAGTCCTATTTTTATGCTAAAACAATGATTAGATGTAATCGGTTGTATTAATCCAAAAAATGAGAGTCCTAGTGGAGTGTCTTTTTGCACACGGTATAAAGGATGGACCATAATCTAGGACAAGATAATGAATTAAAATATTTATTAGTTAGAATTAATTAAATGATTTGAAAGTAGTGATAATAGATATTCTTCTTAATCGAGGACATGTCTGCGTTCATAATTGAGTTTTATTATTTAAAACAATCGAAGTTACTACTCCGTAATTAATAATTTTTTCCATTACTTTTTTGTTAGTACTCCCTCCGGTCCCTATTAAAGTTCCCAGTTTGACTTCGATTAAGAAAATAAATTTGACTTTACTGTGGAGTGCACTGTTTGGCACTGTTTGACACTGTTTGACACTGTTTTGCACTGTTTTGTTTCCTACAATGGAAGTGTGAACTTAAATAAGGGATATCCCAAAAAGGAAAGTGAGAACTTTAATACGGACCGGAGGGAGTAATATTTAAGGAAAAACCCTTTTTCAATGAATCAATCAAAATTAATAGAAAACATACAAATATTTAAATTAAAAAAAACGGACATTCATATCCCAAAATAAATAGAGATTAGTCAATAGAAATTGATTTAAATAGAAGCAAAAACGTTTTGAAATTCTAAAATCGGAGTATCATGTTTTTTATTTCATGAATAAGAGTAATCTGCCAAGTTTGGGAAAAATGTCATGTTTTAAAGCTTAGTAATGCCAAATTTGATAGAAATTTACTCCTATTCAAGGAATAAAAAAAATGATAGTCTTATTTTGGAATTTCAAAACTTTTTTACACCTATTTACTTTTCCAAAATAAAAAAGTACTCCATAATTTTTCTCATTTTTCCTAATAATAAATTGGTAAAGGATTAATTAACAAATACAGAGTACAAAGTGTTTTAACTGTAAAAAGTTTACTAACACCAACTTTCTCTCTCTAGGGTTGCCGTCTCAGGCAACGCCTAGCTTGTTTTGTTCGGCGGTGTTCGCTCAAGCGAGTACGGCGCCGAGAAGGTTGTTATTATTGGAAGAAGGAGGGGATCACAAGGAGGATTTTGGTAAAGTTCTCGCAAAAGGTTAAAGTAACAGGTTTATATGGACAGTTTCGTGAAAAAATACAAGAAGATGACAATTGGGGCAGAAGAAGAACTAGATCTAGATGAAGCTGATGTTGAGATTGTGGCGGATAAGCGGCGGGTGCGTCCCCGTCCTGAGCCGCCGCCACGAAGAGCAAGTAAATCTAGGGTTTGGAAGAAGTCTTATCTTATTTGTTTTGTTTATTTTTCCAGTAATTTTTATGCATGTTTTGTTATTTTCTTTTTCTTTATTATTCCAGTTTATAAGACGTTGATTTTGGATGTGGGTGACAACAGAATTAGGGTAACCGTTTTTGGCTCATTTGTGCCCATTAATGAATCAACGAGTTATATTGTTTTGGATGAGATGGTTAACTCTGAGTCTGGTTCACGGAACAACAGTTGTCAAGATTCTATTTGTCAGATTACCCATTATCTAAATGTTGGGATTTCAATTTAAACCAAATTCTTCCAAAAAAAACAAATAGGGAGTACAAGGTCAAGAGATATATTAGGGAAATGCGGCGTAAGTGGTACATCGTATAACATCCGGCCTGGATTACAATCCTATCTAATTTGAAAGTGTATTTCTATTCCTATCCACGATCGACTAATTGTATATAAATACTGATAGCCTCTTGTACAATTTCACTCCGCTCTTCAAGATCTCATCGAAATTTTACTCTCGTCTCAGTATAATCTATCGTCATTATGGTTAGCGCCGGACATATACGTACGGGTGTTGGTATAATCGGTACGAATCGTCTCAATAAATTATCATATACGTCTTAATTAGCATAGAATACATTGATATTATACTATACACACATGCATATTCAGAATATACACATGCTCATTACAAAAAGATTACAGGATTGATCTGATATAAATCGATCGATGAGCCGAATAGATCGTGTTTTTGGCACGGATTCCGTGTTTTTATCAAATCCTCTGTGAATTTTGGTGAATCCTGCCGATCCCGCATATTTTTGTAGTGGCTAACGAAGATGATTATGTTTGTTTTATTGATTGGTTTTATGTGATATATGTACACAGGAAATATTATTTCCGGCTGCCTCTTCCTCGTACCTATGTGAGTAAATGATTAATTAGTTAATACCACGATTACAATGATTACGTGTTTTAAATATTTTTAAGAGAACTGACAAATTTGGTTTTACTGATCTCCACATGCCATATCATGCAGTAAAACATTTATTGAAATTGGGAAGAAGAAAGATGTGGAGGGTTTCCAATTTTACCCTTACGTCGCAACGGTGTTGAATTGTATGTTGTGGGTGTTTTATGGCCTTCCGATTGTGAAGCCTGACAGTCTCCTTGTGGTCACCATCAATGGTTTGGGTCTCGTCATTGAATTAGTTTACGTAGGAATCTACTTCTATTATGACCGTCAAAACAAACGGAGGGTATGTTTTCGCTTCATATAGCTTGTGTTAAAGTGTTTTATACAAGGATATGCCATATCCTTCCGATTCTTATGTGAATTTTGATCGCCGCAATCTCGTGTTTTTTAGAGAATTATATGTTAATTAATTTAATCATATCACAATGATTATGTGAATTAATTATTCTCTCCGGTCTTTAATGAAGTTTACACTTTGACTTCACACATATTAAGGAAATAAATTCTACTTTACTGTAGAGTAAACTGTTTGACATTGTTTGACACTGTTTTTCACTGTTTGGTGTAGATTTGTTTGCCAAATAAGGCAAATAAGGAAGTGTAAAGTTTAATATGGGACAACCCAAAAAGGAAAGAGTAAAGTTAATTAAGGATCGTAGGGAGTACTTGATTAGGATCGAAAACTAAGTAATTCAATTCTCAATAACGACCGATCGTCGTATTTTTAATAAAAAAAATTTTCAATCTGGTTGAATTGCTTGATGATGCTCTTTGAACAAATGTAGATTTTAGGATGGTTATACGAGTTTTTTTAATAAAAAAACCGTATTTCGCACTTGTATTATTATTTAATTAATTATGTTAAATACGGTGGTGTTTTGATGTTTTATTGTATGTGGAATTATTTTAGTTAATGATTATATTAATTAATAATTTTATATTTTATTGCATGCAGACAAGAATATCATTTTTTCTTTTTGGAGAAGTATGTTTCGTGGGTGTACTCGCGCTCTTCACCCTGCTTTACTTCCGAAAGCTGGAAAGTAGAGCTTCTTTTGTGGGAGTTTTCGCTGATATCTTCAACATCATGATGTATTCTTCACCATTACTCGTCGTGGTATATAATTTATATTTACATTATTAGTATATAATATTTCGTTACTATTATAGTTAGGTTATTACTTATTAGTTTTTCATTAATCAATAATATATAATTAATACTGTTGTACTGTGCAAATTAAATTCTATTTCGTGTTATTTAAGATGCCATAGTACTCGTATTACTCTTTTTTTCTTCCAAAAAAAAATTAAAAAATGATAATAATTTGTGATTAATTAATTGATACTCTGTCAAACATAATTCTTTATATCTAATTGCATGCAGAAAAAAGTTTATAAAACGAAAAGTGTAGAATATATGCCATTTTGGCTCTCATTCACTTGCTTCGCAAATGGGCTCTGCTGGACATGCTATGCTCTTATCAAAAGGCTTGATGTTTTCCTCCTGGTAATATCCAATTTAATATTTTTCTTATTTAGATTATTCTGTAATCCTTACCGCATGCTTAATTAAGTCACAAAATTAAATTTAAAAACCTATAACGTAGTATTTATTTTATTTCCAAATAAATAATATGTAGTTCCTATTATTGATTTTGTTTCCAAATAAATAATATTTTTGCAGATTAGCAATGGTCTAGGAGCAATAGCCGGAGCGATTCAACTGATAGTGTATGCTTACTATGCGTGGATCTACAGCGGTGAACGTTCACCCTCCGATAATAAACCGGCAGAGGTTCAACTCCCGGCATCAAGAGTTTAATTTAATTAAATATTAAATATATGTATTTACCTACATTCACCATCTAGGGTTTCAAACTTTCAATTTTTCCGGATTATGTTAATTTTTTTTAGGGTATGGTAAGTTTTTTTTGAGACTGAGATATAATTGTCCATCCAAGATACATTTTAATAATAAGCGTTTTTTTAATTTTTTACCAATGCTAATTATCTCGTTTCAATATTTTGTAATTTTTTATTTGAAGCTAGATTTCGTATCATACTACTCTTGTCTCACTTCAAGATAAGATATACTCCATCTGATATTTTTTTTAAATGCTAACATTGAACTTTTTGCACTATTCACGTGTTCTTTTCATTTTAATGTTTCAAAATCTTTTTTTTTTAATTTTTTACTAACAAGGTATGAAAGATATATGTGGTTAAACTTGTGCGTTGGCAAACGTGAAAAGTGGATCGTTGTATTTAAAAAAGAACGGAAGAATACCGTTACCAATTCATGTTAGGTAGATTCTATGGTACCCATAAGGTACCATATCTTTGTCCACATAGACCAATGAGAATGTAGCAATTGAATTATTTAAATCTAAATTAAAAATGATAAAGTGATGTGATTCAATCAAATTAATGATAGATACGTACCTTATTTTTTAGAAAGGTACCGTAGTTTCACTTATTATAGCTCTGCATTTATTTTTGAAAGGAGATCCGCATTTAATTAACTTAATTTTTTAATTATATTTCAATTCGACTTTTATCAAATTGTACGTGTCCAATTTGCTTAATAAATAAGATAAGATACGATGAGATTGGGAACGAATTACACAATCAATTATGGAGAATTCGTTAGAAGAGTAAAGTATCTTTTTTTGTTAAGTGGTTATTGGATGAGAAGTGATTTTATGGTAACATTTATATAGGAAACGTATTAAACAATTTAATTTCCTAGTTATTAAAAAATTGATCATTTTATTGATTTCTCGATCTCGTAATTTATTTTCCCTTCAAGATAATCAACAAAAATAGTTGATGCATTATCTAAACAAACAATAATGTGTTATGTAGTCCTAAACTTATATATATAATTAATTTTTTATTACTATATGTAATGGCGGAGACAGTTTCTCACAAGTCACAATAATTATTTTAGTTTGTTATCACCTGGAGTACGTATATAATAAATTGTTCAAAGAATTATCCCTTTAGTATAGATTATCCACTGGATTATTTTGAAGAATTGTAGATAATGCATGTTTAAGTAAACGATCCACCTATTTTCCCGTGAGATTAGTTGACGGCATAAACTCTCGTATGTAATCATCGAATATAAAGGGAATTCTACAAAGGGAATATAAGTAATTTGTGCCCATTTGGTATAATTTGACCGATTGAGTTTGGTGTTGGTGTTGAATTTTAATTTGTGTAGTTCGTGAATTTTAATTTATGAATCAGTGAAGTTATGAACTTCTGCCGTGAATTTGTAAACTGTGATTAACCGATTGTGTATTAAACTATTAATGTATTAATTATTATTATTTTTAGCATTTTAGAGTTTTAGGGCTAGGGAATCATACAATCATTTTGATTATTAATTGAATTTTTCAATACATAATTAAATAGTTTTATTTTTTATATATAAGTATTTTAATATATACCAATATTGAAAATGTTTTTTAGAATGGATAATGAACATGTTGCCAAGAAGGGAAAGAAGTTGATTTCATCATTCTTTTCGAAAGTGAATCGTCAAACTGGTGAAGGGAGTTCTGAACCTATACCTACAATAGTGCAAAATCTAGTCAATGAGGATCCTCCACATGCTGTAGTCCCTGAAATCCAAACTATCTCAAATTTGGATTTCAATGCTCGATAGACATGCTCGAATGTAGAAGTTTAGAGTATTCAAATTTTTATTAATCATTAATAAATTTATAAAAATTGCACTAAAATGTTTAAATTTTATGATATGTACAATAGTATAATTTATATGTGAACGATAGGCTCGTGTTCGGATCGAAACATCATTATGTTCGATCTTGGCTTGAATAATTATTCAAACTCAAAACCTACTCCGTGTTCGAGTTCGAAACTTGTTAAACTCAATTCATTAAATTAGATTCGAAATCAAGCTCGAACTCGAGTATATAATTCAAAAAAATCTTTGTTCGATAACAACCCTGGGCTAAATTTGGTATGTATAGTAAAACAAAATTACTGCTGCTTAGCCCACCCCATCTCTCTATCCTGGATCCGCCCCTGGATAATACCATACATGGCCAGCAGTTAATAAATAAAACATTAAAATTATGAATTATCAAATAAGAAGTACAATGTTATTTCTCTAACACTTCTTGAGGAAACAATGTATCTCTAACATGAAAAATACTCCCTCCGTTCAAAAAAATTGATTAATTTGACTTTTCGTGGTCAATGATGTTAAACTTTAGACAATGATTTTAGGTATTATATTTGTGTGTAATTTATAAATTTTATATTTTTTGAATTTTTTTAATAAAGAATATGCTCATATAATCTTCATATTTTAAAGAATATGCTCATATAATCTTCATATTTTAAATAATACTACGTATTGTCAGGGGCGGCTTTGAGGGCAGTTGGGCCAGGCAACTGCCTTGGGCCTCAACTACCAAGTGGGCCTCCAAAAAATTCTACTCCGGTATTAGTATTAGGTGGTATTCGCAGACCGCCAATACACGAAGCGACAACTGCAAGCAGAAATCAGCTTTATAGTTCACTTTTGACTATTCGTCCTTCATCAAAGTTGTAGCTAATGAAGTCTTCTATCCAACACAACTTGCAAAATTGGATTTGAATCATCCAATAAAAATATATGAATAAAATGGTGGAAGGTCGCATTCTGAAATCTCAACAGAGATTGTCTGACTTCATCGTCTGTTTTCACCTTGCTTCTCTCAGATTCTCACAATTGTGTCTTCATATAATTTTTAGCCCTTGAAGTTGGCTTTCATATGAAACTTGAATTATGTTTTTTGGATGTTTCTAAAAAAAGATATGCTTGAACGATTGACAGAACGTCATCCTGATCGTAGTTTTCAAGCTTTATTCGTCTTCTTTTGATCCCGTAGCCAATTCTAGAGCTCTTTTGTCTTCAAAACTTTGTCTTTAAAACCTCACTGATCTCCAATGCTCCTAATCAACTCTAAAATGCTTCTCAACTCGTCCCTGTTGCTTCTCAAACACCGGTGCCAGGCTCAAATTTCCTGATTTTGACTCCAAAAATACCAAAACTCGAACCAACGGCCGGTAAATATAACTTGAGCTTAAAATTGAGACTTATGACACCTTAAAGTTAGGAAAAAACTATCAAAAGCCGATCTCAACACGCATCAACGCCCAACACAGACCGCTAATCGGCTACTGTATATATGCCTCACTGCCCGCCGTCGACACGGGCCCTTGGTTAGTGAATCAACTAAAACTCTTCAGCTCTTCTCTCTGAGTCTCGTTCTTGAAGTCTCTTAATACTTTTACAAGTACAAGTTTTCCTTGTGTTTTGAAAAAGTTTGCATTTTAAAATTATCCTTTTGAATATTACAAACATTATATCGTGGACTTTGAATATGCTTTTTTTCATAAGGCGATTTTTATTCAATTTATCTGATTTTAAAAGTGATTTGTACATAGTAATTATTTTTCGTCTGGGGCCTCCAAAATGCTCAAGCCGCCTCTGCGTATTGTACTAAAAAATACTCCCTCCGTCCCTTAAAACTTTGCCAAGTTTGACCGGCATTGGAATAAAGTAAAAACTATGTGGTTGAGGTTTGTGCAGAGGAGAGAAAATTAATTGGAATCACAAATTCTTTATTTAAAAGGGAAATAAAGTGGCAAAGTTAATGAAATATCCAAGAAAGAAAAGTTGGCAAATTAAAGTTTTAAGGGACGGAGGGAGTATCTTTGATAACACTTCACCACCATAGGAGGAAGCTTTTATGAGAGGCTCATTCTTATGCTATGAAAGGTTATTAATAACGGCCAATGACATGACATAGGGACCCACACGGGTAGCTCAATTGGTTCAATGGTGAGAAATTTGGAACAATGACCAAGGTTTGAAACTCGCAGCGGCCGTGTGAAGGTTACAACTCCTGCGTGCTGGGCTGGACCTCTGATGCGCACGGGTAAAAGGTCTACCATCATTGGGCCGACTGAGTCACCGTGACTTACATCCTCCCCAAAATCCTGTCGGGTCGGGGTGTGGAGAGATTCCACCTTTTCCAACAATGACATACCATAGGGGTGGAGTCACAATGCAACTTGGGGCAGACTAGGCTGATACAAATTAAACTATATTTTTTTTATAAAAAATTGAGTATCTTTAAATTTTGTGGTGGACAACGGCATAGGTTGCCCCTCCCTCCGCTCCTCAATACCCGTATATAATACTAAAACAAAAGTGATGAAAATAATGAGATGAATATATAAGATTTTCAAAATTAGCAAATCTAAAATGAAGTTAATGATCGAAATACAGTATGGATGTACAGTAAATATATGTTTTTTGACAATAGTACCTACATGTTAATAGATTTAATATATATAAATGTTCAGGATTTAAAACATCCCTAAAAATAACAACATTAGCAAAATTGGCACTTTAGCAAAATTGAGGTTAACAACATCATATTTTGGATCTAATATCAAAAGCTGTTAGAGACTATTCTGTTGTGAATCAAGCTTGTCTTTGTTCTTGTAATAGATTAGCCTTTATCATACCTTTATGTATTCACTTTGTATTTATTAGGGTATAAAGGATATGCGGCCAATATTGGCAGGCCCATATACCTGGCATAAAGCCTTTACGCAAACCCTGCATGCGCATATAAAAAGGCGCATAAGGCTTATGTTTGCGCCAACTTTAGCAATCGACCTTAGAGCTCTTGACGCACATATCATTCTGTAAAAGGTCTACTGTATATCAAAGAAGGGTTTCAACGATCTTCATCTTATTCATCATTCTGTGATTCTCATCTTTGTTATACTGTCATATTGCTGTTAGATTAGCTTAAATCTCTAAACAGGGACCAACAACTGGTATCAGAGCCGATCGAGAACTTATCAGATGAACAACCTGCAAAAGACTCTGCTTTTGTTTCGTACCTGTATTTTTCGAGTTTATCATCTGTAATCTTGTTTTTGCGTTAAATGTTGTAAAA